AACAGTAAGAAACAAAACTCAAATCTGTATGTATTTCTAAATGTTCAACTCTTCTTTCTTACAATGCATTTATAAGAATAGTTTGTATTTGTTTAGTACCTTTCTAGGTTTTTTTTTCCTGGCCTCTTTCACCTTCAGCTCACTGGTTGTATATGGCTCTGTTTTCTGTAGAACTGCTTTAGAATGATATTTATCATGGAAAGTGTTATTCAGTTTCTGTATATTTTTTAATATTAGATTTTATTAGTGCGTAGAAAAAAATATGCTGTTAACTTTTTACATAGTACATGTTTTGCACATAATATTTCATTCATTTGTTTTGACTGTGGTACAATATAAATAGGTCTGTATAAAATATGTAACTGTCTTTTATATTTTTGGTTGTGAAATTTATCATATCATAAAGGGCATATAGGATCCCTTTTCAAATGTATGTGAAATATGTCAAATTTGCGGTATAGACTCTTTAAAATACATCTGAGAGTTTACACACCGGTCTGTTATTGTGGCGACATTTCCACTCCCCTAAACATGACGCGACACAAACTGAAATGTGATTGGTTACTTTACCTGTCAATCATATGACCTCTTGGGTGGTCCTTGAACATTCAAAGCGGCCAAGGTTCCCAGACCTTCTGCTGTCAGTCTGAAGGTCTGGCTACACAAGACTACATATAGGACTATGCTATATAATAGAAACATTGCTTTCTGTCATGTCGCTCAGAAGGAGCATTTGTGTTCACTATAACCCCTCAGACCCTGACCGTGTCATTCTGATCATCATTACAGCAAGAGGAAATTACTCTTGCAGGATTTCTCTGACAGAGACAAATTCAGACAGGGTCTTATGAAATGATGACTGTTGCTGTCTCATGAGGATGTGTTTGTGGGTGGGTGGATCATCACTCTTCAGACGGCATGTCTGTCTTCCCCGTCATGAGTCTGCCTGTCACTCGAGCCGTATCTCCCAGCATACCACACACCAGGTGCACTTGCCATCTCTCCAGCCGTTGCCGTGCCAACAGCTCTTGTTTCTTCTTGTTTTCTTTCTCTGGGAATGAAAAGTCAAAGGCGGCTATTCGTCTCCCCCCTCTGCTTGCAAACTACAAACTCATCATAGGTCTATTAGTGCTGGACTCCTTCAGTTCCACTGTGACTCGTAATAACTGGAGGGGCGACGTTACTGTTAGCATGCATTTGCTCACTGAGTTTTCTGTATAGTGTCAGTTTTAGCGTTGGGAATCACGAACGGGTTCTTTTTAAGTGCGATTTCAGTTTTTACAGAAATGTGTGCATTTGTCCTCTGAAATTTCTCCTTGGGGAAGTCGTGGCGTAATGGTTAGAGAGTTGGACTCGTAACCCAAAGGTTGTGGGTTTGAGTCTTGTACCGGCAGGGGTTGTAGGTGGGGGGAGTGAATGTACAGTGCACATTCTCTCCCACCTTCAATACCACGACTGAGGTGCCCTTGAGCAAGGCACTGAACCCCCAACTGCTCCCTGGGTGCCGCAGCAAAAAAATGGCTCCCCACTGCTCCGTGTGTGTGTTCACTGCTCTGTGTGTGCACTTTGGATGGGATAAATGCAGAGCACTAATTCCGCACTAATTCTGGCCTCACGTCACTTTTTTTTTTTTTTTTAAAGAACATGTAAAAAATAAATGTTTCTAGCATTCGTTTGTGAATGATTTGCTCGGTTGAGTCGGTTCACTGCTCTGTGTGTGCACTTTGGATGGGATAAATGCAGAGCACTAATCCCGCACTAATTCTGGCCTCACGTCATTTTTTTTTTTTTTTTTAAAGAACATGTAAAAAATAAATGTTTCTAGCATTCGTTTGTGAATGATTTGCTCGGTTGAGTCGTATCTTTTAAATAAAAAAACTATTTAATCTCAATCAAAGGTCATTACTTTACATTCAGCTTAAAACTCTAACTAGAACCGTTATTGTATTGTGTTTATTCGAGGCTTGTGACACTTAATTCAGGGTCATATCTGATTGGTTCGTAAGACAGTATGTAGTCAAAGTTACACAGTCACTACAGAGTTGTGTTGGAATAAATGGAGTAAAATTAAAGAATCGTTAATGGAGTTGCGACCAGAATTGTTACTGTTGGAGCCATACTCATTATATCTTATTTAATTTTTACAGTTACATTTTTCACAATTGTCCCTCCTTTTTGTTGGTAGTGATTTTGTTGAGTTTTGTTGAGTGTTTAGTGTTAAGTTAAATGTTATGTTAGTATTATTTATACTATTATAGTATTTAATATTTTGTATGTGCATATATATATATACAGACACAGAGCTAGGCAGTATGATCATGCAAGCTACCTTTTAGAGCCTTTTGCATGAAGAACGCACTTATAATGCCTTTAAAATGCTTCTTGCATAGACAGCTCCCCAGGTTTTGGAACAAAGCTTTGGTGTTTGTAGGAGCGATTCACTCTTGGTTTTGTTTAGTAGAAAGTTAGGACTAAATTACTTCCTCCAAAGCACTGAAGGATCATTAATGAAATCATTAGGGACTCTTAAGTTGCTTGAAAATCATTAAGAAATAAGTAAGTGGAATTGGAAATTGAAATGGAATCATTACATTCCTTTCGATTCCCATCCCTGGTTTTATCAATCTGTTAATGTCTCCATGTGTCTGTTCTGTTTATGGTTTCTGCTAGACGTATTCTCTCAGTTGTTTTGTTGGTTACCTAATTGTTTCCTTTATTTTATTTATTGCCTTTTTGCCACTGATAGGCGAAAAAAATAGGACAGATTCATTTGCATCACCTCAACTTACTGCCATGACCTCTGACATCTCTGTTTTTCAGACTCCAATTCATCCGTTACTGTTTTCTCTTCAAAATTCATATGTTAGACCCTTTAGCTGTGATGATAATCATGTTTGTGCTTTGACTTTCTTTTGATCCAAACATTCTTTAATACAAAAAACACTTTGATCTCACAGGTTTTCCATCCTTTTATCGCTTTGCTGTAAATACTGGGCGCAATGCTTGTCCCACTGCAGCATTTCTGTTGTCTGAACATTGTCAGATTCACTCTGTGATGTTCTTTCTTTTGCATTTATTATTTATTCCAAATCTCCACAGAACTATAATGTCCTTGTATTACAACTATGGCACTATTTTTTTAAGCTTCCCAGTGAGGACGGTTTGGGCTCTGTTCCAAAACCTAGTGAGCTGCCTTGCTGCTCACTAGGGGGAAGTCATGGCCTAATGGTTAGAGAGTCGGACTCATAACCCAAAGGTTGTGGGTTCGAGTCTCGTACCGGCAGGGATTGTAGGTGGGGGGAGTGAATGTACAGCTCTCTCTCCCACCTTCAATACCACGACTGAGGTGCCCTTGAGCAAGGCACCGAACCCCCAACTCTACACATACCGCTTAGAATTAAGGCCAAAAAGTTCTATCTTGGTCTCATCAGACCAGAGAATCTTATTTCTCACCATCTTGGAGTCCTTCAGGTGTTTTTTAGCAAACTCCATGTGGGCTTTCATGTGTCTTGCACTGAGGAGAGGCTTCCGTCGGGCCACTCTGCCATAAAGCCCCGACTGGTGGAGGGCTGCAGTGATGGTTGACTTTCTACAACTTTCTCCCATCTCCCGACTGCATCTCTGGAGCTCATCCACAGTGATCTGCTCCCCGGTCGCCGCAGCATAAATGGCTGCCCACTGCTCCGGGTGTGTGTTCACGGTTTGTGTGTGTTCACTGCTGTGTGTGTGCACTTTGGATGGGTAAATGCAGAGCACTAATTCCGAGTATGGGTCACCATACTTGGCCACATGTCACTTCACTCACTCACTCACTACTACCTCCATAAACAGCATCCTACCTGAAATAGAACATTTAATGCCATACTTTAGTTTTAAACTTTTCAGAAATACAATTTTTGTATTTATTGAATTACAATTCTATTCAGTATGTTTGTCATGTATGTTTATCTCTTTTTTACAGTATCTAACATTGTTTGCACAAGCCAGTTCCTTATTAAACAGCTTGTTATTCCCTGAGAAAGAAATAGATGTGTTACATGTGTTTAAGAACACATCCAAAAGAGTCTAATGTACTATAATACAATATTAATGATTCATACACTGCTGTCAATAAGATTTTTTTAAGAAATACTTACTTTAACACTGATTCAGGATTTAAATACTTTAAATCAGCAAAAATGTGATAAATTGATCAAAAGTGCCAGTAAAGACTTTTACATATTTACAAAATATTTATTTTTTTTATTTTATTTTATTTTTTAAATAAATGTTGTTCTTTTGAACTTTTTATTTATCAAAGAATTCCAAATAAATAAATGAAATATTTATAAATATTGATATTGATAAATTATCACTGTTTCTGCAAAAAATATTAAGCAGCACAACTGTCAATTTTGATCATAATAAATGTTTCTTGAGCAGCAAATCAGCATATTAGAATGATTTCTGAAGGATCATGTGACACTGAAGACTCGAGTAATGATGCTAAAAAATTCAGCTTTGCATCACAGAAATAAATGCCATTTTAAAATATATTGAGATAGAAATCACATTTCAAATTGTAAAAATATTTTACAATATTGCTTTTTATTTTACTGTGTGTCAAATAAATGCAGCCTGGAGCCATTAGAGACTTTCAAAACCATTAAAAAACACACTAACCTCAAAGATTTGAATGGTAGTGTATGTTGCTTGCAAAACATTTAATTTTGTCATTCAATACACTGCTCATTTTAAACGACTGTCAAATAAATATTTTTGTGTCAGATTGTGTAGTTACAGCATCAACCAGCAGGGTCTAACAAAGCAACGCTAACCTTAACCCAGTCTCAAACAAATTATAGCAATACAGAGCTACACTTTAGGCAAGTCAGGCAATAGATGACTTAAGTTCTCTGTGCTTATGAAGTTAGTAAGACAGGAGAACAGGACAAGACAGGAGATTGTTTAATCCCACATGCTCTAAAAAGTGACACTTTTCTCCTGTGGTTCTTCCCCAGATCTAATAAACCCGGCAGCAGCCCTAAAGGTCAGACCCCAGACGAGAGCAGCCGCCGAACAGACGCTAACTCCTCCGTCTCAGACCTGGCCAACTCCGTCACCAGTGATATGCTGATGGTAACGTGAACGTGTGGCTGTGTACTGTTTTCTGTGGAAGCTCATTTCCACCACGGAATAAAAATATTTTAAAAAGAGGTTTTGCGAGTTTATATCGCTTACATCTCGCAGTTTTTACTTTTTTTCTCATAATTCGAAGTTTATATCTCAGGTTATTAACTCAATTGTCAGTTTATATCTCGAAATTCTGATTTTTCTTTGAATTCTGAGATTACATCTCACATTTATGGGGTTTTTTCTGCAACTGAATAAAAAAAAAACTTTTTATCTCACAATTCTGACTTTTCATTTGAAAATTGCAGTACCGAGTCTGGTATTTTTCCCTCACAATTTCCAGTTTATATCTCACAATTGCAAATTATAAGCTTATAATTGTGAGTTTGCATCTTTTTTCTACAAATTCTGTGCTTTTGCAGTTTTTTCTGAATTTACATCTCAGAATTCTGTCTTTTTTTCTCAGAATTCTGAGATTACATGTCATGATTCTTCTTTTTTTCTTCCCAGAATAAAAAAATTATATATATATATATATATATATACAGTGGGTACGGAATTGGAATTGTGAGAAAAAGTTATATATATTACTTTTTTCTCACAATTGTGAGTTAATATTTCAGGATTGCAAGATTGTTTTTATATTTTTATTCCGTGGTGGCCATGAGCTTCCATAGTTTTCTTCTAGTTTTGCCTCTGAAGTAACACTAGTTTTGATGTGAACCCTTTAAACACAGGGATGCATGTGTAATTGGTGATCTCCCTTACTGCAGTCAGTCACACAGAGAGATGTGTCAAAGGGAACTTACCTCCGTAATTAGAACTGGTACAATGTGCTGCGGGGAGGCAGACGATGGCCTTCACAGGGTCTGCGTGTCATTACGTGGGTGGTAAGGCGTTTTTAAAGAGATGTGATGAGGGCTGATGATGGTGCTTCCTCTTTAAGAGGGTGCCAGAAGCTCTTGTAAGCACCAGCCTCTCACAGTTCTAAGTCCCACTGGGGGGGATCTGGGCACTGGGGCATGGTATGTCAAATTAAGCACAACTTTTAGCCAAGGTCCTGACTCGAATGGGAGTTCATTAATTCGATATGCTGCTGCTTGTCAGACCACTTTAAGTGATGGATCACTAAGGTGTTTGGAAAGACCACCAACCGGTTCCCAACTTTTCGCCCTTCATCACGTATTAATGTGAAGGCAACTTCTTTTCACAATTCGTTAGAAAGCATCCCGGCAACTTTTTTTGTCTCATATTTGACAACTGCAGTGTTTTGTTAGTCATGTTTATGCAGCAGGAAAGTCGGTTCCATTAGTTAGCCTGATTCAAACCAATAGTTACTAACATATCAATATTGTGAAGCACACAGAAACAAAAAAAAAAATACAAAACACACACACGCACACTCACACATATGTGACCCTGGAGCACAAAACCAGTCTTAAGTCACTGGGGTATATTTGTAGCAATAGCCCCAAAAAACACTGTATGGGTCAAAATTATCGATTTTTCTTTTATGCCAAAAATCATTAGGATATTAAGTAAAGATCATGTTCCATGAAGATATTTTGTAAATTTCCTACCGTAAATATATCAAAACTTAATTTGTTTAGTAATATGCATTGCTTAGAACTTCATTTGGACAACTTTAAAAGTGATTTTCTCAATATTTAGATTTTTTTTGCACCCTCAGATTCCAGATTTTCAAATAGTTGTATCAAATATTGTCCTATCCTAACAACCCATACATCAATGGAATGCTTATTTATTCAGCTTTCAGATGATGTATAAGTCTCAATTTCAAAAAAATTACCCTTATGACTGGTTTTGTGGTCCAGGGTCACATATATATATATATAGATATATAAACTTATAAGTCATGAGTTTGTGAGTGCTTTTGCTGTTCATGAATCAGATTCAGTGTTATTTTTTTATATTATTTATATGCAAGTATTTTTTAATATTTTAAATGAGCTTTTTTATATATATTTTCAGTTTTAGTTATCAAAGTTTTAGTGGTTTTATGTGCTTTTGTTTAATTGTTTTTTTTAATGTTTCTATTTAGCTTTTTATTTCAGTTTTAGATTTTATTATTTTTTAATAACTTTTGACATAGTTTTTGACCTTTTTGTCTCATAATTTACAACTAAATGTTTTAACTAGCTTTCATTTTTTTCATTGTAATTAGCTTTCATTTTTTTTACTTTAGTAATTTCAACTTAAACCTAATTTATTTCACTTAGTTACCAAGGCAACTTTTTTATTTAATATTTTATAAAAAGTGAATATTTGAATATTTCGTCACACTTAAGTTTGGGGACCATTCTCACTATTACCTATTTACTAACTATTAACTATGACTTTTGCCTCAATAAACTCCTAATTTGCTGTTTATCAATAGTGTCACGGGGTGAATGAGAACACAGACTCGGTACTGATTGAAAGAGCCCCGGAGGGTGATTTATTGCCCACACACTGATCACACGTGCTCTGATGAATGGTGCTCGGTGCCCGTCTCAGCGTGGTGCTTGTGAGGTGAAGTGCCGTGGTGCAGATCCCTCTCCCAGGGTGCCTTCGGAGTCTGTGAACAAGGAGAAACAAGCATTAATGTCTGCCTGGAGCTCCGGGGTGCCTTCCCGCTGGTGTCGCTTCTCCTGGCTTTTAAAGCCAGCAGGAACGAGCTCCAGGTGCGCCACTCATCGTGCACAGGTGTTGTGCGTCGCTGATCAGTGTGGCAGCGGCGTTTCCAGGGCGACGCTAATCTGAACTCGGGATACTCGCCACAATAGTTAGTAAGGTAGTTGTTAAATTTAGGTATGGCATAGGATTAAGGGATGTAAAATATGGTCATGCAAATAAGGCATTAGTACTGTCAGGATTATGGACTATTCTGTGTGTGTTTTTGCCCCTGTGACCCAGTTTCTTCCTCATGTTGATTGTGTTAATGTGATTCCAGGTGTGTCTCGTTCCTCCCCAATTATCCTGTCTTTAAAAAGCCCTAGTCCTTTCAGTTCTTGTTTGTCGGGTCTACTTGTTGAATGTCCTCTTTGTTCTCGGTTTTCCTGTGGATTATTAAAGACTGTTATTCAAGTACTCCTCGTTTCCTCGTTCCTTGCTCCCCGAGTGAATTGTGACAGAAGACCCGACCCAAACAGTTACCTCCGTTTGTACCCTCCGTTTTGTTTCTCTTTTTACTCAGTTTTTTGTTTCCGTTGTGTGCCTTATGGATCCCCTCCTTCGCCCCGAATTCATCCTCCTCCTGCTGGAGCAGGGGGAAAATTAGCTCGAGGGTCATACCAGACTGTTTCTGGGTGTGGCCCATCTCACCACCTATCCGGACGATGCACTCTGCGCGTTCTATGACGCCAGCCTCAACACCGCATGCAGAGCGCCGTCGTCCGAAGATGGCCCTCGAGCTGAATTCGCCGCCTTTGTGGAGTGGACACTGGCGAGAAATGGATCTCCGTTCCCCGCCGGTTCCCAGGAATTAATCGCCAGTGCCACTCCCGCCTCAGAGCCCAGCCCACCATCTCCCCAATGCGCGGAGCACACGCCCGAGCCCACCGCTGACGGAGAGCCAGAGCCCGCCGCGACCGATGAGCCATCGCTAGAGAGAGCAACAGAGCTGAGGATCGCCGCGGAGCCAGAGGCCGTGACGTCAGGCTCCTTCATCCCCTCGGCTCCATCTCAGTACTCTGTCGCTCCAGCTCCACCGCGGTCTCCCGGATCCACATCTCCACGTCGGTCACCGGTGCCATCTGCTCCGCCTAGGACCTCCGGATCCTCCCCTTCGCCCTGGCTCATCGGCTCTCCGTCTCCGCCTCGGGCTCCTCCACCACCTGCTCCGCCGCCGTTGGTCGGCCCCTTGGAGTCAGCGGCCATTCCTCCTCCATGGCTGCTTCCTCCGTCGGCTCCACCGTGGGTCGACATCATGGCTGTGGCCTGGGTCCTGCTGTGCTCCTCTTGCTCTGGGTCTCTCCTGTCTCCTCCCTGGCTCCTCCCTCCTTCGTCGCCCCCCTGGTCTCTGTCTGCCGGCCTCCTCCCGGATATCCGTCCTCCTCCGGAACCTCCTCCCAGGTTCCCACCCATGCCTCCCTCTGTTGTTGCTATGGTGCATGGACGCACCTTCCGGGAGGGGGCGTTATGTCAGGATTATGGACTATCCTGTGTGTGTTTTTGCCCCTGTGACACAGTTTCTTCCTCTTGTTGATTGTGTCCATTTGATTCCAGGTGTGTCTCGTTCCTCCCCAATTATCCTGCCTTTAAAAGCCCTAGTCCTTTCAGTTCTTGTTTGTCAGGTATACTTGTTGAATGTCCTCCTTGTTCTCGGTTTTCCTGTGGATTATTAAAGACTGTGTTATTCAAGTACTCCTCGTTTCCTCGTTCCTTGCTCCCCGAGTGAATTGTGACAAATACAAGTATGTGCTTTATAAGTACTATTAAACAGCCAATATTCTAGTTATAGGCATGCTAATAAGCAACTAGTTAATAGTGAGAATTTGTCCTTAAACTAAAATGTTACAGAATATTTTTATTTGTATTTTATTTCAGCATTATTTCAATGAATGGAAACTATTTTTTAATAGTTTTAGTTAACAATAACAACACTTGTTTGTTAGTTTTTTTCCGCACAGCCAGCGAAGATGCAATAGAAAGATGTGGTGTCCATTTTGTTTTACTGTATTTTATCTTATATCTCATCACATTTAATTCAGATAGGATAAAAATAATTTATTTAGCCACACTGCTATAGATTCTGTTATGCTGCAGGAAACACTGTAATGTGGTTTTGTTATTAATGATTTAATGTGAAACGATTAAGCTGTTTAATGACAATCTTGTCCACTTTGGTTTGTAAGTTGTCCCCAGGCTCTGAGGAAGAGGAACATGAAGGACCCGTGTGCGAGAAGCTGGGACGCATCCAGTTCAGTGTGGGATACAGTTTTCAGGACTCCACACTGACCGTAAAAATCCTGAAGGGTCAGGATCTACCTGCGAAAGACTTCTCCGGCACTTCAGATCCATTCGTCAAACTCTACCTTCTGCCAGACAAGAAGCACAAACTTGAGACCAAGGTCAAAAGAAAGAACCTCAACCCTCACTGGAACGAGACATTCCTGTTTGAAGGTCAGTATGTTTTGATATCTCAACTACATTATTATGGGTTTAGAGTTCCTAGTTTTGTGTAGTTTAAAGGTGGTATTCCTCATGTAACCAGACTTCTGACTTGGCATAAAAGCTAAATACACATGGCCAAGTCTGTGTGTGTGTGTGTGTGTGTGTGTGTGTGTGTGCATGTATGTGTGTGTGTATATATATATATATATATATATATATATATGTATATATATGTGACATTTTCAATTATGATTTAACTCACTTTCATACACTACTGTTCAAATGTTTGGATGTTTTTTAAAGAAGCCTCTTATAAAGGCTGCATTTATTTGATCAAAATACAGTAAAACCGTAATATTGTGAAATATTATTACATTTTTAACTATTTTATATTTGAATATATTTTAAAATGTAATTTATTCCTGTCAATCAAAGCTAGATTTCAGCATCATTACTCCAGTCTTCAGTTTCACACGGTCCTTCAGAAACCATTCGAATATAATGATTTGCTACTCAAGTAACATTTATTATTATTGTCAATGTTGAAAAAAGTTGTGCTGCTTCATATTTTTGTGGAAACTGTGACACATTTCTGTTCTGGATTTTTGAATAAATAAATAAAGTTCAAAAGAACAGCATTTATTTTTTGTAACATTATAAATGTCTTTACTGTCACTTTTGATCAATTTATGACTGCATCTTTGCTCAGTAAAAATATTAAATATTAATTATTTTAAAAAGTATTACAATATTAATCATACTTTTGAACTGTAGTAATTAGATTAGATATGTAGATTTTTTTTTTTTTTTTTTTTTTTTTTTTTTTTTTTTTTTTTTACAATATTAATCATACTTTTGAACTGTAGAATTTGTATTTTTATTTGAAATTTTTTTTTTTTTTTTTTTTTTTTTTTTTTTTTTTTTACTTCATTGTGAACTGTCAGGTCAAAAGCATGTGGTTTTTACATCAAATTAACCCAACATTTGCCATTTCACACTTCATTTCCATTTTGTAGGATGTTGTCCCTTTTCTCTTCTTCGTCCATCTGGTTTGCTATGATTACCTCCATTTGTATCAGACATTGTTACTGCTACTAAGTGTTTCCAACTAAACTCTCAAGATCTTTGAAAGATTTAAAGCAACAAATGTGTTGTGTAACGTGTGTGTGTGTACCTGTTTTCTATTCTGGTGGGGACTTAAACCTGAATACACACAGACTCGTGTCACGGTGGGGACCTAAATTGAGGTCCCCACGGGTAAACAAGCTAATAAATCAAACTAAATGAAGTTTTTTGAAAATCTAAAAATGCACAAAGTTTCCTGTGAGGGGTAGGTTTAGGGGTAGGGTTGGTGTAGTGCAATAGAATATATGGTTGTACAGTATAAAAACCATTACGCCTATGGAGAGTCCCCACAAGGATAGCTGACCAGACATGTTTGTGTGTGTGTGTGTGTGTGTGTGTGTAAATAAAATAAATCATCAATTGTATTTTAGTTCTTCCTCACAAGCACTCATATCAACACAGCACCTTCTAAACAGGAAACATTTCCCAGCAGAAACAAAAGTATGCAATTTTGTATGCAATATGCATCAAATGGTCAATGAAGGGGGCCGGTCCAAAGTATTTTTGTACCCCATATTGAGCTGTAAATAAATTCAGTGAGCTAAAATTATCCATTCTCATCTCTCTCTCTCTCCCAGGGTTCCCGTTTGAGAAGGTGGTGCAGCGCACACTGTACCTGCAAGTGCTAGATTATGACCGTTTTAGCAGGAATGACCCTATAGGAGAGGTGTCCATCCCCCTGAACAAGATCGATCTGGCCCACATGCAGACCTTCTGGAAAGAGCTGAAACCCTGCAGTGACGGCAGTGTGAGTAGATCTGTGTGTTTCTGCTAGTAAGTTCTCCAGGTAGGGTAGGTGAGGTGTCCAAAAGATCTCCCAGGTGTTCATTGATTTCAGCGTGAAAGTCCATCGCCGGTGCTGCGCTTAGTTTGAAGCTGTAGGGTTTGGACTAAAACTTTGTAGTTCATTGAAATGGTCCTGTGATGTGACAAATTAATTGTTAAAAGTACAAATATTACATGAAGTCACTCAGTTAATATGAGGTGATCAGAACTGCGTGTATGATGATTGTGGAAGGAATGGAAGAATTTTGTTACAGACAATTTTAGTAACAGAAAATATATGGTTCAGATATATATATATTATTTGGCTGATATTTTTAAGTTTAAGACAAATTTTAAGGTAGGTTACTGTGAATACTTGGTTAAATGTCACAGTGCACATTTTTCAAGTGTAATATTTTTGTGTCTTATTTGCCATTAACTGGTTGTATATAAAATATATATTTAATAATAGTATTTATAATTTGTATTATATATAAACACACATAATAAACATTAGTACTGCATATAATATAATGTACTCATTTTAATGTAAACAAGAAAATAAAAAAATTAAATAATAAAAACGTTATTCATATAAAAAATAATTAAAAAATATAAATTAAGCTGTTGTGTGTCTGATTTGCTATCATTAAATTATATGTGTATATAATATACATTTATTAATAACTATAATATTTATTTTTATTGTATATTTTTATCTAACACATACTGTGTGTGTGTGTGTGTGTGTGTGTGTGTTTATGTGCATTTTTTTTGTGTGTGAGTGAGTGAGTCAGTGTGTGAGTGTGAGTGAGTGAGTGAGTGAGTAAGTGTGTGTGTGTGTGTGTGTGTGTGTGTGTTTATGTGCATTTTTTTCTTGACTTCTTTTAACATGTGGAGACAAAAAGAGATCGTAGCAGAAATAATAAATCAGAGAAATTAATTATTAATTATCAAACACAAAATACATTGTTAAAAAACATAATAATGTAATGAGTGGGGGAAACCATAAAAACAGAACCAGAATTTATATTGCAATACAATTATATTAATATTAAAATAAAAAAATGCAAGTAAATAAATAATGGAAGTACACCATGTAGTGTACACAACAATGTAAAGCTGAATCAAATATTTCATTTTTTTCTATTAAAATTAAATAATAATAGAAATATTCATTTCAACAAAATATCAGCATCAAACACTGAAAATCCTATAAAGGTCAACCACTGACTAGTTGAAAAAGTTGCCAGGTTTTTTTCTCATAGAAAAAAAGCTGTGACCTCATACGAACCAGCGACAGTGAGGTTTGAACTCAATGAACCGGTCCAGTACTGACCTTACTGTGTTCTTATCTTCAGGGGAGTCGAGGAGACCTGCTCGTGACTCTGTGTTACAATCCCACTGCCAACACCATCACTGTGAGCATCATCAAGGCACGCAATCTCAAAGCCATGGACATCGGGGGAACGTCCGGTATCAACATACACCCATAAAACCTCACAGATGAATCCGTTTTTAACTATTACATATGTTATATCATATGTTATAGTCATATTCCTGAAGCTCATCTGGTAGGATGGCAGTAGCACACCATCATGGGTTTGATACCCACAGGACACACTGTATATGTGTTTACCTTAAATGTACTGTAAGTTATTTCACAAAGCATCTGCTAAATGAATAAATGCAAATGTAATATGGTTATATTCTGAGTGCTTATGGGATTTCTGTGAAAATGTCCTTGTCAAGGTGCCATCTGCGTAGTAATCATCTCCAGTGTCATTTAGAATTCATTGCAGGAATTCTGTTTCCCTGGACGTGACTCACTGTGGACCGTTCCCTGTTTGTGTGCGTTTCAGACCCCTACGTCAAAGTGTGGCTGATGAACAAAGATAAACGAGTAGAGAAGAAGAAGACGGTGGTGATGAAGAGGTGTTTGAACCCTGTCTTTAATGAGTCCTTCCCCTTTGATGTCCCCACTCACGTCCTCAGAGAGACCACCATCATCATCACAGTCATGGATAAGGACAGACTGAGTCGCAATGATGTCATAGGCAAGGTGTGATGTCACAAAGAATTTGTGGAATATTAGAAATCTTTTGCAACAATATAAACTAGCGTTCAAAAGTTTGGGGTCTGTGTGTGTGTGTGTGTGTGTGTGTGTGTGTGTGTGTGTGTCATGTTAGCTTGATTTAAATGCGTTGTTGGTTAAATGCTTCATGCCTTGTTCCACCTAGTATTAATATGCGTTTTCAGTGATCCAATCACAAGTGGTCAGTCGAGATGCATTACAGTTTACTCCTGCATTTAAATGCATTTCCCATGATAACTTGTGTTCAGATTTTGTCAAGACCCTTCCTTTTTATTTCGTCACACGCTATATTACTTTCGCAGAAACGCCGAGAATGGCACACGAATACGATTGAATGAAAGAAGCCGTTACACTACTTACAAGCGAGCGGGAAAGGAAGCGAATGGAAAGGATATGAATGGTAACAGATTTTGATCGTAATCAGTGTGTTTTAGCACAATATAACGTTTGAAGTTTGAATTGATTTCATTCGACCACATGAGTGTCTACACCAGCGTTATTATAGTTAGCAAACTAAAATTGAAATGAAAACTAAAACCATAAAAACATTTTAGTTACTTAAATAAAAATTAAATAATATATACAGTGGGTACGGAAAGTATTCAGACCCCCTTACATTTTTCACTCTTTGTTATATTGCAGCCATTTGCTAAAATCATTTAAGTTAATTTTTTTCCTCATTGTACACACAGCACCCCATATTGACAGAAAAACACAGAATTGTTGACATTTTTGCAGATTTATTAAAAAAGAAAAACTGAAATATCACATGGTTAATATATATACTGTATATACATATATAAAACATGATGAAAATGAACTAAAATGAAAACAAAAAATATAAAAGTAAAAACTAACTCAAAATATTAATTAAAAACTATAATATTCATGACGAAAGCAATCCGATTGAATGCATTTATTTAAAGATGATTTTGCCACATTATTCCATTCCCCAAGTGTTGTTGAAAGTTAACTTATACTAAAATCCAAAACTTTAAACACCAAATATTTTCTGACTGGTTATGATTGTGTAATGTAACTGTGATTTATTATTAATATTCATATTAATATTATTTAAATTAAATGTATTTGCTATATACTGAACCCATAACATCAAAAGGTTTTTAACCGGCCGTGATTGTATCTCATCACTTTGCATTTTCTCTGTCGATGAATGATAAATTGTTCTTCCGAGGTTTTGCTTTGCAAGTTGAAAACGATGAACATCTAACGTGAAAATGAAATGAATGCACCAGTGAATCGGTGTGCTTTGTTTTCTCTCATCTAGTTGTGTTATTGAAAGTGAACAAGCTCGAAATGTTGTCGACCCCATTTACAACTGTGTTTAGCATCATCCAATTGTGATTGGGTCAACAAAAATGCATCTTAATACCAAGTGTAAACAGGACCTCAGTAACACAATGCAAGAACGCATAGCCAGAGATGGGCGCAGATACATCAAAAAGTATTTTGTTACAAATTACAAATACTTGCTCATCAAATGTATTTAATTCAAATACAAAATACTGGTGTGAGAAATGTCTTTAATTAAAATACAAGTAATTTGAAAATACAAAAATACCAACAATCATTTGAAGTGCAAGAGACAGTGCCATTACATTTAGTTATGCTGGAGTTAGATACACACATAAGAGAAAGAGAAGTGCTTTTTGATGAAATCTGAGAGCTTTCTGTCCCTCCATAGGCAGCAACTCAACTTGCACATTCAAAGCCCAGAACGATAGGAAAGACATCATTAAAGGGGGTCATATGATGTGATTTCAAGTTTTCCTTTCTCTTTGGAGTGTTACAAGCTGCTCGTGAATAGATAAGATTCACATTTCGTCCGATTTTGAGCCTAATTCTGACTCGTGTGACTCTTTTTTTGAGTCGGGCTGAATTTCAGCTTTGTCGTGCGTCTTTCGATGTGCAGTGTACAAGGGGAAATGAGAAGTGATTAGCCTCTTCCGACCGGCAATCGGATGGCAACTTGGACAGACGTGATGGAGGTTACACAGTTCTGGGTTCGGGGGATCCCACATGTTTATTTTGCACGTATAGAGTGAGCAATCAAATTGCATCTCAACGAATGGACCGTATTGTGTGAGCACATAATTCCTGAGCTTTGGCTTGACATTGCATGCAATTAGCTCATACAGTGAGAGTTGGTATTTAACAGAAACATTGCTGAAATTGCACCGTGTATGGCCGGTCTTACGGGAGTGGAACAAAACAAGGTTGATTAATTAACAACATAATTTTCATTTTTGGGTGAACTATCATTTTAAGACTCCGCCTATGGATCCAACAAGTCATATGATTCATATGACGCATACTGTGATAGGCTAGTGACTGTGATAGTTGGCAGCACGATTAACACAGGTGAAGAAAGATATTGTATTATCAGAGAATAAAATGGCCTACTTGATTAAGTATTTTATGTATTTCAAATACAAAATACTGTCTCTCAAAGTATTTAATTACAAATTACATCAGATTTTTTTGTCCATCTAAACACAAATTACAAAATGCTCAAAAGTAATTAAATATGTATTTTAAATACATTTAATTAAAATACTGCCCATCCCTGTGCGTAGCATTAGCAGTGTTACGACAAGAGGCACTATGGTCAGTTTCCTGTGTGGTTTACTGGCGCAAACATCTGAAATCTATCGCCCCCTTGAAGTTTGTTACCACTACAGAACCCAGCATATGTATATATATATATATATATCAGGACAGCACGCTTGCAATGCATTGGCCAAAGCATTTGTGTACTTGCGTAGAGTACTATATTGATTTTTCTTCCAAAGCGAAGCGTGATGGACAAGATAGATGAGATAAGATATGAGTGTTTGAAGCCTGTGTTGTGATAGAAGCAGAACCACAGAAATCCTTTTATATAAACTAGCATTCCTCGTGTAACATACACATCTTGCAGAGGATTGCATCAACCACTGAACCAGTATGCAATGACACTGCCAATGTGAGTTCAACGCTGCCAAAACGCACTTCATCTCTTTTCATTTCCAAAGGGCTGAAGAAGTTCTTAGTGGCCCTCCAAAATAAGACGTGCAATTTAGAACCGTAAGAAAAAGAGCTGAAGCAGGAAAATATAACGTAAGTCATGTGATTGTGTGCGCGTCTTTGGCTAAGTGTGTGTGTGTTTGTATGCGTTTGTCACTGTCTGTATTTGTGTATGTGTTGAGGATTTGGATCACCACGGTTTTTCGATTGATTACTTATCGTACTTATGCTGCCTTCAAGTCTTCCTGCGAAGTTTGATTTTTAGCAGTCATAAAATTAATTCCATTAAGGTTTTGCAACAAAATAAAGTACAAATACCTGGGTTTCCACACATCCACACATTTTTAAATGAAATTTGGGGCATTACATTACATTCTTGAATGAAAACAGTAAGAAAATGGTATTAAAAGCATACAAGCTCACTTGAGGAGGATACATTTTTATTTGGTAAGAAGACATGCATAAACTATGATGGAAATTACTAACATTTGCTAAATCAATTCTTAGATTCACATCAGAAAATGTATCTATTATTTATTTTAATTAATTTTGTGCAACAATTTTTACAAATAATTACAATTATTAATATGCACACCACTATTGCACTCTATACTGTATATGTATATACTACATATAGAGGGTAAGTTTTATTAATTTTTATAAATCATAAAATGTATTACATTTAAGAAAAAAGTGCTGTTTATTACTTTTTACTACATGTAAGAAAATAGTTGTACTATTTTTTTGGTGCCAGAAGTGGTGACATCTGAATAAATAAATAATAAAATCTGAATATTGCAAAAATAATGAAAAGCAAAGCTCCTTTTTTTTTGTTCACAATTATTTTTAAAATATTTGAAATATGTTTGCACAAGTTAACTTGGATGAAAATGTGTGTAATTGATGCTTTAGAGCAGGGTTTCCCAAAGTGAGGTTTGTGAGTTAATGAAAAGCTAATAATTAATTACATGTAAAGTTAAAATATATAAATAATTAAAAAAAATATATATATATATACACACAGAGATTTGTTTACCTGCTTATCATATGACCATTAGCCTACATCACAAAACCGTGAATATTCGAATATATTTTTCAATTATTGATTATTTGAATGTGTTATCTTAAAATCTCAGGGGTATTTTAAGTTCATAATTTAGGTCAAAGATGTTCAGCTGACAAACATTTTTCTAAAGTTCCAGCTTTAGCGAATGATGCAAAATGTAATTTAGTTGCACAAACCTGTAAGCTCAAAAAAAAGTGAAATGAGTATTATTTTGTAGCAAGCTTTTTGGTTATTCTTCATGAACAGTACACAAAATACGTACAAACTGAATTGTATACCATCAACATTCACAATTAGAGCTTATTGTGATAGCAATTAGCTTCTGGCATAATTCTTAAATCAACATGCCCTCAACTCACTAATTCTGTGCTCAATGAAAATAATCACGCTAATTTGCGACCAATGTTGGGGGTAACTCTTTACAAATAACGCGAGTTACGTAATCAGATTACTTTTTTCAAGTAACTAGTAAAGTAACGCATTACTTTTTCATTTACAAGAGAATGTCTGAGTTACTTTTTCAAATAAGTAACGCAAGTTACTTTTTTTTTCCAATTTATTGATTGACAGCTCTCCTGTCCCCATGTTGAGAGAAATCAGATGTTACTGTAGTTCAAAAATAAATGTGAATATGCATTAATTTATCTCACTCACAAAAAAAAACACAGATTCAGTATTCCTCAAAATGAATAAAAATAATGCAACTCCGAATATGACGCAAACCTGCAATAATTAAATGTTAAACATCACAAATATCCTTTATGTATTTAATCCCTTTCTATTAACCAATGTCTTTGCTTCTGACCTTCGATGATCCAGTTCAACCGTACTAATAAACTAAAATTACTCTAGACGAACATTTGTGTGTCTTTTTTTATTG